AAAATAAAAGCTTCAAACTTCAGTTTTTTCACCTATGGGGGTTTAAAAATCTCTTATTTGTTGCCTAAAGAGAAGTGATTTGATTTTCCTGCACCCTCCCCACTGAAATATTTAATGCCCATTACCTTCAATTAGAGCAATTGCTATTAAAAAATAATCAAGTTGGTGTCACAGCATAATGACACCTGGTACACCCAGGTGATGGTAAGGTGACTGTCTAATGAATTGGTTTTTAATTCCAGTGGATTTGTGGATTATTATTTTTTTTCCTTTGCTAATAGAAGGGTGAATAAGGTGAGATTTTAATTTCTTTTTGCTTTCAGGTGCTCAGTGGTGCTAGAAGACCAGGGGTTCTCAGTAATCGTTGTCATCAGTGCAGAAACTTAAAAGAATCGCTACCAAATTGTAAATTAAATAGTTTTAAGTATTGAAAATTCAGATATTTTCTGAGGTTGTAACTTTGGTGACTCATTTAAATGAGTGTTTTGCTTCCAGTGGCCTGAAGATGTTTTTCCTTGATGAGGTGCAGACATTCTCCTCCCTGGCTACGGGGTGGGCAAGCGTGGACCTCCAGCGAGCTCCTCCAGTTGGGCTTTTTAGGGCTGGACAAGTCACATTCTTTATTCCAAAGGAAGCTGAAGGCAGGAATCAGTTTTTCACACATTTCCTGCTCTGCAGCTGCTCGTGTCCATGGGTTGCCCCGACCTCACTCGTCCAGGGGTGTTGGAGTGATGGGGGGCAATGAGCTCGTTTTGAGCACATCATTTTTTGGGAAGCGATGGTGAAATTTGAAATTCAGAAGGGTACCAGATCATCGACTGAATTAGTGGAGAGGAGAGGAGGATGAGGGTTGAGCAGGTTGAACCTGCTGAATGGACCCTGCTGGGGTGGATGCTGCTCCTCTAAACCTCATGGATTTCAACCCAGTGTTGGCCAAGGGCAGGGACAGCAGCTTTGAGGTCCTTCTTGACTCATGGGATTAATTCTTTTGGGCTCCACCGCATCTCCAGCACCAGCCCTTGATGAATAGTGGGAGAAAATTGTCACCTGAGGAACACAGAGATGGGCTTCACACTGCTCCTGGTGGTTCAGGGTGGAGAAGGGGGTGCAGAGCTAAGGAGGAGAAAGATAGGGCCTTCCTTTTATTTCAGGTATTAAGCAATTTTAGAAAAATCACATTTTTCCTTTCACTTTGGATTTAATAAACAAAAAAACCCCACCTCGTAGGATGCTCTGTCTGTTGGAATTGCTTGGGATAAGGACATATCCCTGTAGCTTTTTTCCCTTTTTTGATACATGAGCAGAAAATGGTGTAGCTTCGCATTAGCTGGAGTAAATTGCATTGACATTTTTAGTAAGTAGTTTTATGCCAGGGATGAAGTAGTAATAGTAGACATTTTAAAGAAGATTTACTTGCGCTGCTGTCACAGAACAGCAGGTTCAGATTGCTGTAGTTAAGGCTGTGTCAGCAGTTGTGGCTTTCTGTGGTGTAAAACTGCTCCTGAAGGGTTTTGATTCATGTTTTTAGATCATGCGGTGCAATATTATACGTATTTAACGGGTGGATCGGTATTACTTCCATTTGTGAGTGATGTGGGGTATGATTTTTAGTATTCCTTAAAAGCAAGTCATGTCACAGTGTGTATGAGCCTGCTGGGCTGGCTTCAAGAGGGAAATTAGAAGTTTTTTTCATGTAACTTTTGCTTTTTCCTTTTCCATCAGAGTAGTATCTTATTCTAGGGCTGTATATCTTATGCACGCTTGGGCCAGACCAAGTTCTCTCAATGTTGGACCTTCTCGGGAGCTTTTTGGGGTGAATTCCTGTGGGAGGCCAAGTGGAGGAACTGGTGCTGGATGGTGAGGAGCTGCCCATGTTCATGTGGGATATGGGAAGAACAATGAGGCCCCGCTTTGAGGGCTGTGTCCAGTTTTGGGCCCCTCCCCACAAAAAAAGACATCAAGGAGCTGGAGCGGGTCCAGAGAAGGGCAACGGAGCTGGTGAGGGGTCTGGAGACCAAGGTGAAGGGTCTGGAGAACTTGTGAGGAGCAGCTGAGGGAGCTGGGAGTGTTCAGCCTGGAAAAAAGGAGGCTGAGGGGAGACCTTCTCACTCTCTCCAACGCCCTGAAAGGAGGGTGTAGCCAGGGGGGGTCGGTCTCTTCTCCCAAGGGACAGGCCATGGGACAAGAGGAAACGGCCTCAAGTTGCACCAGGGGAGGTTCAGATTGGAGATTGGGAACAATTTTGACAAGGAAAGGGTTATGAAGCCTTGGAATGAGCTGCCCAGGGAAGGGGTTGAGGCACCATCCCTGGAAGGATTTAAAAGCTGGGTTGACATAGTGCTTAGAGACATGGTTTAGTGATGGGTTTTATCAGAGTTGGGTTGATGGTTGGACTCCATGATCTTAAAGATCCCTTCCAACCTGGACAATTGATTCTATGATTGTGCTCTGATCGAATTCACATATTCCTCTGTTATTCTGGCTTCAAATGTCTGTGCATTTATTCTCCTGAAAGTGCTGGTGCACACCAGGCACTTCACCTTGTGAGTAATTGCTTTTAGGGCGAGATCTCATTTAAAGGTCTGAGCTCGCTTGCTCTATTTTTGGAATTGAAGGGAAGAAAGTTGCCATTTGAATGGTTTTATAATGACTGTGATTGTTTCAATTGTTATAAATCAATCACGCTTGTTTCTTCCCTGAAACGACAGCACTCGCATGAGAAAGCAGCTCCCTTATTTTGTGGGGTTTGGAGACATTTTTAAGGATTTGGCTAATATATATTAATACACAGCAAAACTGTGGCTGCTGGTGGTGCCGTGGGTGGGGGAGGTCACTACTTAAGCTTAAATTACTTAAAAATGAAGCGACCTAAAAGAGGAGACCAGCGTTTTTGTATCAGGGGGTTGTTTTTCTGGATTATTTAAAATGCTAGCACTTGAAATTATTTTTCCCCTTGGCTTGTTAGAACCCAAATTTAGGATTCTGTGTTTGCCTTCAGCAGCTAGAGATGCTCCCAGTTGGGGGGGGGGGCTGCGGTGTTGTGGCTCTTCCTGGGGGGGCTCTGGAGCCTGGATCTGGGCTTGGTGGGTGACTGAAGGAGGAGTCACCCACTGAAGGACTGAAGGAGGGAGCTGGGATTGTTCAGCCTGGAGAAGAGAAGGCTCCGGGGAGACCTTAGAGCGGCCTTTCAATACCTGAAGGGTGCCTATAGAAGAGCTGGGGAGGGACTCTTTGCCAGGAAGGGTAATGATAGGACAAGGGGAAACGGTTTTAAATTGGAAGAAAAAAGATTCAGATTAGATCTCAGAAAGAAATTTTTTACTCTGAGGGTGGTGAGAGCCTGGAACAGGTTGCCCAGAGAAGCTGTGGCTGCCCCATCCCTGGAGGGGTTCAAGGCCAGGCTGGATGGGGCTTGGAGCAACCTGCTCTAGTGGGAGGTGTCCCTGCCCAGGGCAGGGGGGTTGGAACTAGATGATCTTTGAGGTCCCTTCCAACCCAAACCATTCTATGATTTTAGGTAGAATTCAGTTCAGGTAGACTCTGAACTCTGATAAAGAGCCCTTGGATGCTTTTTGTCCTCTTCCCTGCCCCGTTGGGATAATGAGCATCTACATGATGTTGGCTTTTAAAGAGAATCATAGAATGGTTTGGGTTGGAAGGGACCTTAAAGACTATCTCATTCCACCCTCCTCCCACTAGACCAGGTTGCTCCAAGCCCCCTCCAGCCTGGCCTTGAACCCCTCCAGGGATGGGGCAGCCACAGCTTCTCGGGGCAACCTGGGCCAGGCTCTCACCACCCTCACACCAAACAAGTTCTTCCCCACATCTCAGCTCCATCTCCCCTCTTTCAGGGTCAAACCCTTCCCCCTCCTCCTATCACTATGTGCCCTTGTGAAAGTAGATGTTTAACTCTTGCCAGGATGGAAATTGGTGGCTTGAGTTTTGCTTCAGTGCTGCTGTGAGTTTGCTCTGCAGCCGTGAGCGTGTCACCAGCTCATCCCTGAGCACCAGAAAGTGTTTAAAAACCCTGTCCTTGCTCTTTGGGGACCTGTAGCTGGTGGGGATCAGGCACTTGTGGCAGCCTGACATTGGCACCGATGCCTCTGGCACCCCTGGAGCCTCCTCCTTTGCCCAGGAAACTTGTTCCTCGTTCTTGTTGCTGCAGTTCCTTAAGTTCCTTGACAAGGTTTGGACTCGCCATGCTCCCTTCAAGGCTTGGATATTGGAAATATAGTGGACATAAAAGACTTTTCCAGCAGTATAGGGGAAGCTGTGGGTACCTCAGCGAGTGGAAGATCTGTCCTCTTTCATGAGTATGTTCATTTTCATCCTCAAACCATTGGTATTGTCCACAGTCCAGAGTAAAATAGTGGACATAAAAGACTTTTCCAGCAGTATATGGGAAGCTGTGGGTATCTCAGCGAGTGGAAGATCTATCCTCTTGATAGTATGTTCATTTTCATACTCAAACCATCGGTCTTGTCCACAGTCAAGAGTAGAACGAGTGTGATTAAAACAAAACCCATTTTCCTGACCTGCCTTTGTATTTTATTTCTTGTCGAAGCTTCGTGCAGGGTGTACAGACCACTTGTGTTTAGAGATCAACAAATACTTCCATTTGAAGTGAGGGAGTTCAGGTAACTTCCGAATAGAGCCAGGAATGAACCCAGGAATCTTCAAAAATCAGGGTAAATCCTAATTTGTGGAACGTCTGTCAAATGCAATGTCAGCCTCGCTGCTGTTGGGCAAATTTATTGAATTATTGTGTGGTGCAGAATAGCACCATATTTAGTGGGTCTGTGGGGTTGGTGCTCGTTGCCTTGAACCCTTAGGTGGCCTTCAGGAGGTTGCAACTGATGTTCTTCAAGATGTTCTTGAAGGTCTTCAAGACCTTCAAGAGGTTCTTGGGCTCCACAGGAACCCGCTGTGAGGTGGTTTTGGGCACAGATACCTCGGATTCAGTTCTTTCCGAGTGATTCTTTTCCTCTCCCTCTCTCCAGGTATGGCTTTGTGGAGTTTGATGACCTGCGAGATGCGGACGATGCTGTTTATGAGCTCAATGGCAAAGATCTCTGTGGGGAGAGGGTGATCGTTGAGCACGCCAGGGGACCCCGGCGCGAAGCTTCGTGCAGGGTGTACAGACCACTTGTGTTTAGAGATCAACAAATACTTCCATTTGAAGTGGGGGAGTTAAGGTAACTTCTGAATAGAGCCAGGAATGAACCCAGGAATCTTCAAAAAGCAGGGTAAATCCTAATTCATGGAACGTTTTTTAAAATGCAATGTCAGCCTCGCTGCTGTTGGGCAAATTTATGGAATTATTTATTGTGTGGTGCAGGATAGCACCATATTTAGTGGGTCTGTGGGGTTGGTGCTCGTTGCCTTGAACCCTTAGGTGGCCTTCAGGAGGTTGCAACTGATGTTCTTCAAGATGTTCTTGAAGGTCTTCAAGACCTTCAAGAGGTTCTTGGGCTCCGCAGAAACCCACTGTGAGGTGGTTTTGGGCACAGATACCTCGGATTCAGTTCTTTCCGAGTGATTCTTTTCCTCTCCCTCTCTCCAGAGAACGAGTGTGATTAAAACAAAACCCATTTTCCTGACCTGCCTTTGTATTTTATTTCTTGTTGAAGCTTCGTGCAGGGTGTACAGACCACTTGTGTTTAGAGATCAACAAATACTTCCATTTGAAGTGAGGGAGTTCAGGTAACTTCCGAATAGAGCCAGGAATGAACCCAGGAATCTTCAAAAATCAGGGTAAATCCTAATTTGTGGAACGTCTGTCAAATGCAATGTCAGCCTCGCTGCTGTTGGGCAAATTTATTGAATTATTGTGTGGTGCAGAATAGCACCATATTTAGTGGGTCTGTGGGGTTGGTGCTCGTTGCCTTGAACCCTTAGGTGGCCTTCAGGAGGTTGCAACTGATGTTCTTCAAGATGTTCTTGAAGGTCTTCAAGACCTTCAAGAGGTTCTTGGGCTCCACAGGAACCCGCTGTGAGGTGGTTTTGGGCACAGATACCTCGGATTCAGTTCTTTCCGAGTGATTCTTTTCCTCTCCCTCTCTCCAGGTACGGCTTTGTGGAGTTTGATGACCTACGAGATGCGGATGATGCCGTTTATGAGCTCAATGGCAAAGATCTCTGTGGGGAGAGGGTGATCGTTGAGCACGCCAGGGGACCCCGGCGCGACAGCAGTTACGGTTCTGGACGCAGTAAGCACTAACATGCATTTGTATCCCTGACTTATTACTTATTTTAAATAAAATATTTTTTGCTCTTTTTTTTTTTTAAAAGTAATTTTAAAAGAAAATGCTCTGAAGTTGTGAATAGTTTTCTGTAACTGTAAATGTAACTGTTGATCTGGATATTTCTTAACTTGTTTGTTGTATTAAACTGTTTAAATTGATAAATTAATAAACGCAGTTTCTTGTACCATTTTTTTTATTACTATTATCGTTTCGTTTAACTATTTGAATGGTATATTTGCGCTGTGCTGTTTAACATAGACTTAACAAAGACCTCAATGTTTTAATTGAAAGAGTCCTTTGAGGCTAAGATGACTGCCCGTTCCATTTGCTGACCCTGGGTTACCTTTCCATGAGAGGCTCTTTGACCTTTGTGGCCCTTGGCTGACCCCAAAAAAAAAAGGAAGCCATGTGACGACCGCGAGCTTTTCCCATTAGACCTGGGTGGTGAGGACCCCAAGGGTTAGAGAGAGATGAGATTAATCTGAAATAGGTGCCTGAAAAGCTTTATTCATGTCAGATATTCAGAAAACCTTTAAGCAATGTAAGTAACATGAGTAAACTGCCTTAATTCGCTTTCTTCTTGCAAACTCTTTTTAAGAATTTAATTGCATGTTTAATTTTAGCGTAATTATAACGATGTGCCTTGTTTTAATTATGTGCTTGTAGTAATTTATTTTTTTTTTTAATTTTTTTTTTAACGCTTTGGCTATTTGTAACGTTTTATCTGAGGGGGATGTAATTGAGACCAGCGGGTGGGGGGATTTTTAACGTGTTTGGGGTCGTGTGGGGCAGGAGAGTGTTGGTGGGGGCTGTGGAGGGAGCTCTCCATTTCCCTGGTTGAAGTACTGCTGTCTGCTTGTCACCTCCTAAAGGTGGATATGGTTATAGAAGAAGCGGAAGAGATAAGTACGGTCCTCCCACCCGTACAGAATACAGATTGATTGTGGAAAATTTGTCAAGCCGCTGCAGTTGGCAAGATCTTAAGGTATGGGGCCCCCTTTCCTTACCCTCTCTCTAGTAAAGAGCATAAAGGGTAAAAAAAACCTGAGCTTTCCAACAAGGAAAAGTGGTATAGACTTGTGTTCTTAACTCCAACTTGTTAATAAGTCTGTGTGCTCCTATGCATACAAGTAGCTTTTGGAAATAATGCGTTTTTAAGTCAATATGGAAGAGTATTTGCATATAAGAAATCATTAATGCGACTTTAGGGGTTGCACCTGCAGGTTTGGTGTCACTGGAACTTTTTTTTTCCTTACCACAAGGCAAGGTCACGTACAGGTGTGTTTTACCTCCTCTTAAACCTTGTCAAAACAGACTTTAATCAGCAGTGGTAGGATTCAGTAGAGATGGAGGAGTTCACCCTTGTCCCTTTGGATTTAACTCACCAACTCCTAAGGTGTTGGAGCTGTTTGGAAACAATTGCATCATTCTTACAGTCTCCGTGGAGAACTTCCACCCTGTGTAAAAGCTGTCTTAAGGAGAGTTTCAGGGAAAGGATGCCTCCAGAATGAGCAATTGTGCAAAAACTCTGCCAAAAGCTAGTATTTTCTCCAAGTGTGAAGGCGTGGAAGGTGATCCTGGGCAGTGGGAGCACTGGGTAACACCGTGTAGCCCCCAGTACCTCCCAGTATCCTCATGCTGGAGGTGAAACGTTGACTCGTGATGTTCTCCATCGTGGCTGGGGGGGCAGGACAGGGAGAAGGTGGTCACTGGTCGCTGCAAAAAGGTAGTGTTTTCCTCATCAAACTTAGCAGCGATGGTTAAAAGCACTTGTTCTTACAGGAACGCTGTCTTTTATGGTTCTCTTTGAAGGATGTATAAAATTTGTTCTAAGCAAACTTGGCCGTAGTAGAAACTGGTGTGTAATTGAATGTGTAACACTAGCTCAGGTACGTACTGGGACTCTTCACATCTCTTCTCTTGTTAACACTTCACCCCATCGATAGCTTGTCTTTGCTTCTGGTATTAAAAATTGTGAGTAGAGCATGGCATGATTAATCCTCTAGTTGGATGCATTGCTTTTTTTTTGAGGGGGGGGGGAATAGCTTTCATCTCAGGGTAGTGAAGGTGGGAGTCGCTGGGTTGAAATGGGATGGAACAAGAGTCGTGTGCCCCATTCCTGTTGCAGCCACAGAGGCTGAAAGGTGGCCCTGGCTGGGGGCTTGCTGGAAGTGGGGCAGAGTAGCCCTCCCTGACCCACAGAGGTGTTCAGGAGCTGAGATGGAGAAGCCAGGGAGCATGAAGTGGGGAAAGGAATCGAGCTTTTACTTGTCTGGGGGGGAATTTCTTCCAGCAGAACGAGATCCGTTACCCAGGTGGAGGATGAAGGGAAGTTTGCTTGCCTGTGCTCTTCTTGCCTCTTCCTAATCAATCTTAAATTCATCCCCTTTCCCAAGTTAACTTGAGAGTATGGGTTAGAGAGCAAGCGTTTCACTTCTTTAATCACTTTTGTAATTTGAAATTTAACCATAGAGCGTATTCGATGTTAGGCACGAGATGGGAGGCTTAAAATGATCATTTGGCTCCAAACTCTCAGCACCCCCTTGGTTGTGATCACACAGACTCTGTGTTCTTTGGCTTGCTGAGAAACCCCGGCGTTAGCCACGTGGCTGCTGTTTGGTTTAAAGCCTGGCTGATGTCCCTGTGCCCAGAAGAGTGGTTAAAAGCCTGGCTGATGTCCCTGTGCCCAGAAGAAGCCGAGGGAGAAGCGTCATTGCGGAGACGAGCGGGGTCAGGCTGGAAGAAGCCTGGCTCTGGATTTGAGGCAATGGTTATTCTGTCCTCTCCCTCTAGGATTATATGCGTCAGGCAGGGGAGGTGACATATGCAGATGCACACAAAGGAAGGAAAAATGAAGGTGTCATTGAGTTCAAATCCTATTCTGACATGAAAAGAGCCCTTGAAAAGCTGGACGGGACAGAAGTAAATGGCAGAAAGATTAGATTAGTGGAAGACAGACCTGGATCGAGACGGCGCCGCTCTTACTCCAGAAGCCGAAGCCATTCGAGGTATGTCTCCGTGATGCAGCCCAGGCTGAACCTAACCACGATAACATGAATATCCAGCAGGTTCCAAAACACTTTGGGAAGGGTGGAGAGTTCTCAGTAAGTCAAGCTTTTGAGAATTTATTAGTTCCCTGGAAGTAACGAGGGGCTGGAGCGAGTGCAGAGGAGGGCAACGGAGCTGGTGAGGGGGCTGGAAAACAAATCGTATGAGGAGCGGCTGAGGGAGTTGGGACTGTTTAGTGTGAGGAAGAGGAGGCTGAGGGGAGACCTCATCACTCTCTACAACTCCGTGAAAGGACACTGTAGAGAGGTTGGGGCTGGTCTCTTCTCCCAGGTAATTAGTGACAGAACGAGAGGGAACGGCTTCAAGCTCCAACAGGGTGGGTTTAGATTGAACATTAGGAAAGAATTTTTCACCGAAAGAGTGGTCGGGCATTGGAACAGGCTGCCCAGGGAGGGGGGGGAGTCCCCATCCCCGGCTGTGTTTAAGGGCCGTTTAGATGCAGTGCTGAGGGACATGGTGTAGGGGAGGCCTTTGTAGAGTAGGGGAGATGGTTGGACTCGATGATCCCAAGGGTCTCTTCCAACCTAGACCATTCTGTGATTCTAAGTAACCAAGGGAAATGAGACCTCTCCCGTGGTGGAGGTGTGTATGTGGGAGCTGAACAAAGGACCATGCTGCTCTTCTTTCCCAACCCCAGGGAGCTTCTCTGGCAGGAGAAGCCACCACCAGGCAGGTGGAGCTTCTCACAGAGAATGAAGCAGAAGGTGTTTTTTTAACACTCTGGCTCCGAACAGGGTGTTCTGCTCTACCCACCAGGACTAACAGTTCTTTCCCAGCTTGGAAACCCCCACCCCTTCCCTGTTTCTTAGAGACGTGCTGCTTTTGTTGTGTGATGGAGGGAACAGCACCCAGCACCGAGCCTTTTCCCCTTCTGGGGCAGAACTAGTCGTTTTTGCAAGCAAAGTTGGGCAAAACTCTACTGTTGACAGAACAGCTTGCTGGTGAAATCAAAGCCTGAAGTCAAAGCTTTGTCCTAGTGTCTCACTGCATTCAAACTGACTCAATTAGGAAAGGGATTCTCCCTTCCTTGTCTCAAATAAGGCTGGGTATTTCCTTCTGGATTAGGACCCTGATCGCTTCCAGACGTGGCAGCAGGGGATGAGCTGTGGGAGAAGGGTTCTGTTTGTAACTTTACTGTGTAGCCCTCTCACCATTCAGCTACCCAAAAGGTGCTTTAATAGTGTGGGGTTTGCCCCCAGGGGACCACAAGCTCTCTGTGGGCCCACGCTGACATTAACCCCGTTGATTTTGTTGCAGGTCTCGCTCTCGAAGCAGACATTCCCATAAGAGCAGGAGCCGCAGTGCCAGTAGCAGCCGCTCCAAGAGTAGATCAAGATCCAGGTACGTCTTTGTGGTGGAAGAAACAGGGGGGTTTACCCACTGCCATGAGAAGCACCATCCTAAATTTGCAGTGGGAATGCTTTGGTTTTCTTTTCCCTGCTGTGTGGTGCATGCTCTTTAAGCCCGAGTCAAACCCAAGATCCAGGTACGTCTTTGTGGTGGAAGAAACAGGGGGGTTTACCCACTGCCATGAGAAGCACCATCCTAAATTTGCAGTGGGAATGCTTTGGTTTTCTTTTCCCTGCTGTGTGGTGCATGCTCTTTAAGCCCGAGTCAAACCCAAGCCGGAACAATCCTCACCATCAGCACAGACTGGGGGGTGAGGGATTAGAAAGCAGCCCTGAGGAAAGGGACTTGGGGGTGCTGGTGGATGAGAAGCTGGACATGAGCAGGCAGTGGGCACTTGCAGCCCAGAAGGACAATCCCATCCTGGGCTGCATCAAAAGCTGCGTTGCCAGCAGGTCCAGAGAGGGGACTCTTCTGCTTTACTCTGCTCTGGTGAGACCTCACCTGGAGTATTGTGTGCAGGTCTGGAGCCCTCAATATAAGAAGGACATGGACCTGATGGAGAGGGTCCAGAGGAGGGCCACAAGGATGATCAGGGGGTTGGAGCACCTCTGCTCCGAGGACAGGCTGAGGGAGCTGGGGTTGTTCAGCCTGGAGAAGAGGAGGCTCCGGGGAGACCTAATAGCGGTCTAATAGTCCCCCAGCTTGGCCACCTCAAGGTCCTTTAATCTGAAGGGGGAGAGAGAGAGGGAAAGAGCATTAACGTAGGCTTGGCCAACGTCTTCTGCGCCTTGGTTTATGCCAGAAAGAGACGCCTGTATCACCCAAACAACACATTTTGACTCAAAACAAGTGAGTGTAGCCCCATCGAGGTGCATGACACGGCCCCACAGCCCCCGAGTACGACCAAGAGCCCCGATTTTGGTGGATTTTGCTCAATACCAGGTGTTTTTTTGGCAGGGTTATGAATTACAAAGCCAAGGGTGTGTCTAACCCCCAGGCAGGAGGCAGCCTCTGCTGAAAAGGTTTAAAAAACCTAATAGCAGCCTTCCAGTACCTGAGGGGGCTACAGGAAGGCTGGGGAGAGCCTGTTTAGAAAGGGCTGCAGTGACAGGACAAGGGGCAATGGCTTCAAGCTGGAGGGGAACAGATTTAGACTGGAGATGAGGAGAGGGTTCTTCACTGTGAGGGTGGTGGAGCACTGGAACAGGTTGCCCAGGGAGGTGGTTGAGGCCCCTTCCCTGGAGATATTCAAGGAGAGGCTCGACGAGGCCCTGGGCAACCTGGTCTAGTTGGGGGTGTCCCTGCTGACTGCGGGGGGGTCGGACTAGATGACCTTTGGAGGTCCCTTTCGGCCTGGACAACTCTATGACTCTATGATTGTATGATTTTATGATTCTATAAAGCGGAGCTGTCTGTTGCCTTTTACGCTTCCAGGTCTGTGTCCCGTTCCAGAAGCAAGAGCCGTAGTCGAAGCAAGAGCCGTAGCAGAGGCCAAAAAGAGAAAAGCAGGACTCCAAGTAAAGAGGATAAAAGTAGGAGCCGCAGCAGGAGCGCAGAGAAACCCCGGCACAAAAGCAAAGATAAATCTGAGGGCGCTCTCCATAACAGCGACGAGAAAACAAAGAGCAGGAGCCGCAGCAAGGAGAAGAGTAGGAGCAGGAGTGGGAGTAAGGACAGGGGGGAGCCGAGGGAGAGCGTGAGGAGCCGCAGCAAGGAGAAGAGTAGAAGCAAAGAGAGGGAGAAGAGCATTAGCAAGGCCAGAAGCAGGAGCAAGAGCAGGGATGAGAGCAGGAGCAGGAGCCACAGTAAGGATAAAAGGAAAAGTAGGAAGAGGAGCAGGGATGAGAGCAGAAGTAGAAGCAGGAGCCGCAGCAAGAGCGAGAAAAGCAAGAGGCGCAGCAAGAGAGAGAGCAAAGCCAGTAGCAAGAAGAAAAGGAAGGACAGCCACGAGCGGTCCAGGTCGGCCTCCAAAGACAAGGAGCACCTAAAATCCGATTCTGATAGAAAAGAGGCAAAAGGGGAGGGGGAGGATGCAGCCGTGCGTCGGGCGTCTCGCTCCAGGTCCAGGTCCATTTCCAAGACGAAACCAAATGTCAAATCAGCTTCTCGTTCCAGGTCTCAGTCCGTCTCGAAGCCCAGGTCCCACTCCAAGTCTAGGTCTAGGTCTGCCTCACGGTCACGCTCCCCATCGCGGTCAAGGTCTCGCTCCAGGTCCTAACCTTGCCTTGACCACACTCAGAAGAACCCGACAAGTCTTTTGTACATGTTGAGTAGTTGTAGCACAAGTGATTGAAGTAGAAACCATGTGGATGCTGTATATTTTTGAACAACCCTGAGGGTATGTCCCTCCTCCTCGTGAGCTGCCGCCCTGCAGCGCGCTCTGCTCCGAGCCCGCTCCACTCATTTCCTACCCTACAGGAAGGTGCTCTTTGAATACAACTCTTCCTGGAGCACCAAAATCGCCCCGTTTTGCAGGAGGAGCCT